ACCCAACAGGATGGTTGAGGGTGGCACAGCATCAGGACTGAAGGAGGGGGTTATGCATTAGAGGAAGTTGGCATCAGATAATACAACCTGACAAAGGAGCTCACACAAACTAATCACGTCCTGCGCCAGAGCGGCTACTTATGTCACCAGTTCACCGCTAGCATTACTGCCACCACCATCTTCGTCTCAACCAGCCACATAATCACACTGATGAACTCTTCCTTGCGAGAATTTTATAGACAAGTGTGAGGTGAATTTTTTTTAAGAGTTGCAGATGGATGGAAGAGGCACTACAGACGCCCACAATTTATAGATGGATGGACCGAGGAGTCTATATTGTCAAAATCCACTTAGATATATTTATTTAATAGCTAATAATAGAATTATGATCATAACCATCATTACTAGCTCGTGATTAACAAACACACCGAGCCTTCTAAGAATAAACACATTAGCCTCCCCCAACCCCAACCGCTCTTGTGTCCTTCAAGAGCAGGAGTCACCAGTCACACAATAGGATATCCGGCTGCTGTGTGATAATTCGTTTTTTTTTCAGTTGACTGGAAGCGTTGCAGTGAATATCCCTCTTACGCTTTGGAGCAATGTGCATTATACAATGTTTCAAATGCTAACATTTTCTGTGCATCTGTTTTTAACCTTAGAATTATACACGTAAAATTCTTGGGTCAGAATTAAAGGATTAACAGATTCAAATTTACCCATTACTGAAGGTTGTGAGAAAGCGTGTAACTAATAGCCCACTTTAAATGCAACGAAATCAGGTGGTGAAAACTAACCAGTAAAAGGATCAACTCTTCCCCTACTCTTAGTAGTCGGGGATAATATAAATGTGATTAACATAGCACAAGTCCTGCCACAGTGAAGGCCAACAATGGCGAGTCCACATTTCTTGACGTAAAAGATACTTGAATATATTGTACTTGGTCCCGATCTTTACAGGCTTGCACGAATTCCTCAAGCCTGAAGGTGTACGAATACAGGTACATCTAAAAAAAATCAACATTAGCTAAAGCAGACGATAAAAATTTTCATAAATAAGCAACAAAAATACAGACTAGATACGTTCACATAACACCAGTTAAAGAACAAAATTAACCTACAGACTTTTTCAAAGACTGGTTAATTTCGGTGATTTAGCTAAAAGTCAAACGTTTTGGTATATTCTTACATCTTCAGTCACGAGGAATATTATGATATAAAAACTTAGGAGAACCTCGACCCTGGATACAGTGTTTAAACCGAGCCCACTCACAGGAGAATAAAGAATTACATAACAGCAATAAGAAATCAAACAGGCTGTGCAATCATAGAGCAAACTAGCGTCACACGGTACCTTTTGCAACTCCGATATTTTTTTTGTCGTTTTTTTTCCTCACGAATTGTCATCTTTCCTTGAGCGTATCGTTCATAAGAAAAGTATCGTTTTCGCTTGACTGGCTTGTGCAATTCCATGGTCAAGTCAAGGTTAATACTCAATAATGTGGATAATGTAAAATATCGAGCCATGTCAAATAAATACATTTAATTTAAAAAAGTTTGTATAACATTTTTAATAACTTGCTCGAGTTAACATTTTTTATTGAGGTTAATATTCCTCAATACATCCAGTGAGCTAGTTTACATGAAGATCATTAGGGGGAACCCGGGTTTATTGTTGAACACGGAATGGCACGCCTTGGTACGACAGTACGTGAGGCAAGGAAACGACGCAAAAGTGCTCGACGGCAACGTTTTATTTTCAAGTGTTTCATACATCAATGAACTTAGAACTTAATTCCGCATCAACACGTTTGCTAGACATACTGTATACATGTGACTTGCGTCATGACCTTAGTGTACTATCTGGTGTAGTTGTTAGTTCAAACCCTTGGATTATAAGAACTAACCTACCGATTGATATAATGATATACAGTACAGTACTTGCGTTTTCTAAAATGCTCTCGCTCTACGGAAAATATTTTAAGGTACAGTATTTTTCATTTACTAACAACATGGTCTTATAAGTTACCCGGTATTCCACCCTTAAGTTTTAAAATCGTGTCTACAAATCATAAACATTAGCCAACTGTCCACGTGAAGCCAGAACTTCCATACAAATCCCCAATTGCCACCCGCATCCCGCCCTCTGATAAGGGACATTGTATCCTATCCCGCAGCCTCTCTGCTTGTTGCGTGCAGTAAGTGGCACGAAGCTAACGTTTATCTGCCATAAGAACACTAATACGGCTTCTGGTTTCCCTTGGCAGTGTGAAACGAGTTGTGGAGTCAAAGTAAATCCCATTAATTTCTATAAGGTTAGGCCTAAGACCAGCCGGGGTGTTAAGGTGTTCCCCAAAACTTAACCTGCATACTATATAGACACATCTTAGGTCTGTCCACCGTATTCTCATTACTGGCATACTTTAGGGTTATCTTTTCGGCATAAAAACTCAAATTTAGCAATAACTTCTCCATGGAATACCTCATCTTGGCAAAATATTGCCTAGAGAATACCAAGACTTAACATTACCTTCCCTGAGTAACTTCCAGATTTAGCAAGTTCTTCCTGGTAACGCTAACGTTCTGATGTACCAAAAACAGCCTTAGCTTGATATGCAGACTACGACTTGCTGACGCTAGCACACCGGATATGACACGAGGGGTAACCAGCGCTCTTTGATCATGAAATTGCTTCGCCTTGCACAAGATGAAGGAGTGCCCAATAGACTCGCACCCCTCCACCCCCCCGGTAGGGGACAATCCGAAATTGAAAACAGGCTAAGCTCTAATCCAGTATCAATGACCAACATCAACACCACTTGCAATAATCATTCAGTACAGTTTTCTAAATAAATCAATCAAAAAAAGCAAACCTAACCTGATCCAAATGGTTGGGGGGAGGGGTTCTGTAAATACATTAAGTTCAACAGCTTTGAACAAAACGACAAAATACTTGTTCAGTGTTATTTTTTTTTTATTCCGCAAGCCTTCCGGATGTACTGGGATGCACAGTAGGTATGCCAAGACGAGGACAAACATGAATACCAGAATAGGCGGCCATCTGCGTCAGTAACGTATAATTTTGTCGTTGACTACTAAGGTTATTACAAAGCAACGATGAATAACAATATCAGGTTAGTTTTGAAATGGAGTAGCCGTGCTCAAGGCGCGCAAACAGAACAAGTTTTTTTTTAAGTTAATATTGTTTGCCGCAGTTATTCTACGCTTTAAAATAAAATTATCTCGATAGTTAGGACAACGTTTTTGCTCTTTAATTGAATTTCACTTAAAATACCATCGGCTAATCTCGCCGAAGACTTGTATTAAGCTAGAGAAATCGTTCCAAATGAAAAACTCCCGATTTAAATATTAAAGGCGATCCATTAAATAAAACAACAGTGTTTATTGGATACCTTCAAGAGAACTCCAGCGTTCAAATAGCTCAGCCGTGTCAATATTGGTATTGTTCCTCACTTCATATATAGATAATTCTGGCTAATTATACGTGTGCAGTTCCAAATGCCACGTTTCTAGAAAGATTCGCTGCCGAGAATGGAGAAATCATACTATCCCCACCATACCAATTACGGTCTTTTAATTTTCTATTTAACTAAAGTTCACAAATATAACGCCAAAACTGTTAATAATTAATTTAACCCAATGGCCCAAATAACTTGATAACCTAACACAAATGACAAACTAACCATGCCCAAATATCACCCAAAGAACCTAACTTACTCTAATCTTGCTTTAAATACCTACGGTAACTTAATCTATCCCTGCCCAAATAACCCATATTAGCTCATAACAGAAATAGTGGTTAACATAGCCCATATAACATGACGGGAGAATTGGTCTATCAGGCATTTAAGAACAGGAATATAGTCCGTACGTAGGACTAGGCAAATCCCTTATGTAAATTATGGGCCGTCTGAAATGCCGACTAATGACCCAATTGCCTACTTAGCACTAAACTAGTTAGGCTTAGCCCAGTATTTCGTATCAATGGTGTAGTGAAGGCTTCTTGACCTACTAACACACAGACCTCAGACAACACACACACAAATGGGCCAACAAAACATTACACAAGAAACACAAGCATAGCCAAATTATTTTTATTATTATTATTATAATAATTATGCAATATTATATATTATACTGTCCATATACGCACAAAAGTCATTCATATGAAAACAAAATACGAAAACGCGACACAACGTGATTTTGGGGTAATACTGCAGACTGACATTGTTCTATTCACTAACTCAATGGAATTCACGCACAGAATATACGATGAAAGGAAATAGTCACAGGAAAAAAAAAATCACGCGACTTGAACACATTGACAACACAATACACATAATGGCATTGCACGTAGGTTAGGTTAGGTTTTTCCGTGCCTTTTTTCTTTTTCCTGGATTCGAATATACATCCCTTTCATCAATTTACTTTTTTTTCTGTTGTGGCAATTTTCAGGGATAACCAAACTAATTTACCGGTAGGTTTACAGTACGAGGTTTTCTTCGGTTACCTTATTTATGTTCCCGGTTACCACCGAGTTATACCTACAGGCAATATACATATTAAACAAATGTGAGGCTGTATGACGATTTTATTCAACAAATAGTACCTTTACCTAGCACCCTGTCAAGAATACATGGAACGTAAGGTAACTTTAACCCCTAGTGTTCCTTGGCTGAACTTTTTTTTTTACCGTTAGTCATGTGAGCGCTCTCCCGTTACAGCTAGGTTCCGTTAACTACAGGAGCTTGATTATTTATGACGTATTTCTGAGCTTTCCTCGTCTCCCATTACTGTAATGAGTAGATCAAGGGACACAGCTCAAAAAAAAAAAAATATGGGATATAATAAAGAAGAATAGAGGAAAATACGACTTAGTTGGAATCGGGAAGACAACACTTATTCATATCCTGAACTTCCTCGTTTCTGTATACAGTGATTTTTCTGGAGCATAAACAAATGAAGATTTTTCTACTTACCAGTACCGCAATTCTTGATACGAACTGCACCATTTGCCAAGGTACAAGCTGCGAGCAAGATGAGTACAGCCTTCATCTTACAGCGTGTAGTGTTGAACTGAGACTGTGACTCATGCAATCGCTCACGTGGCTTTTAACAATAACCCGAGTTGGTTACTCATCTCTGAGTTGCCACATAGAACAGCAGCTGTAAACCCCCAACAAAAAAATATACAGTATTTGTAAGAAGTAAGGAAAGGGGGTGGGGGGGTTGAATTCGTACTTAAAATATTAATCCATGTACAATCTGATAAACGAAAAAAGAAAATTGCAGGTTTAATTGACATATATTTGCCTTGTCTGACACCATCTGTCAACCCCCAAACATACAATCTGTAAGTTTGTTATGTTATTACGGCGCTTCAACAATAAGGTTTGTAAGCGAGTAACATAGTAATTACATATTTCCAACAGCACTTAAACAATTATGAGAGATAGAACTTTCTTTTATCTATAGTATCTATACGAATAAACGTATGATTCAAAATATACAACATAATGAAGTTAAAAACCGCCCCCAAAAATTACGAGGAATATTTACAAAATTATCGTTCACTGTAACATGGAATAAACTTAAGTTTGTTTCATATCATCCAAGGAATAAAATTAGATTTTTTTCAATATAAACGTATATAATTTGGTAAACTACATATTAGTGGTATAATGTCTTAAAGTTTCAGGTAATTAAATTTTCCCCGTTCTATCTTAAAGGTAGAAATTTATTATAATATATTTATTCTGAGACAAGGGGGGGTCATGGAAAGAGAGAACTTGGTGTGAGTATTCTCTTGGAGATAGAAAGCAGATGGCCATGATGTCTATGGGAAAGGGTCGCGGAAAAGGAACGTGATTGCTGCCCGTATCATCATTGGGTATGACTTTGCTTGGGAGATTGGTATCCCCACATCCCTTGAGCAACGCTCTTGTGCATTATGCATTAGACCCGACAGCAGCACCCTTATCCACACAACGCTTCCGTGACGCCTGCTGGACCACCACTCCTCGACCCCGTGACGGAGACACGATGATCCTCCCCATACTGGCCACATATTTTGTAAATAACATTGATTATGTGCTAAAGGAATATCCTTCCTTCCTTAGGCTTTAGTGAGCCCCTTTATAATATTTATTTATACTGTACAGTATATACTTGTCACACTTGCCAGATGATTCTGGTGTTATTGTACAGGGGTACCTAGTGACAGCACTAAGATCCCGCTTCCTCTATCAAGGAATAAACAATTGAAATTGAAATTGAATTGATGGCCATGGCAGAAGAAACTGGTGGTTAAATTTATATATAATGTCGTATTGTCTTCTGCATTGCATTATTTTCATCCACCCAAACAAGAAGACTATCCCCATCATGACCGTGTATACCAATTACTTACAGATAAACCTTAAAAGTTCACAAGATTTCACGGTGTTTACATTAGTGAAAAGACACTGATTTGCCACACATGCAGAGAAAACATTTTACGTTTAGATAAATCTACTCGAGTAAAGTGGGAAATAAAATTAGATCTCTTATTTCTAAAGGCAGTAAGTCTAAACATGGCTGAAAATTTGTGTTGTTTGAATGTGTTCACTTTATGCGCATTGACCGGTATTAACGTCCCATGAATAATGGATGCACATGAAATCAGTGATAATCCCCCCAAAAACCGTTTGTTAGCAAGGACTCACGACGGCATTCAATTCATTGTTAATAGAGTGGGTAACATTTCACGTAAGTCATTGGGTAAAGGACAGATTAATACCATTTACGTGCCCTTTGATATTGGTCGAACTGTGAGAGCCAGATGACAAACATGTTGAGTCATTAATTTTTAACTAAAGCTTTTTGTCGCTACCGGTGTTAATACATTATTGATGTTATTATATTATTGTATTGTTCCACATAGCGTAATATTACTTCCAATGACAAATATTGAGCTGAATTACACAATGTCTTCATATGTAGAAACTTTCTTTATCCACACTTAATGGTTTCATAATGTAACGGAAGTTTACTCTCTATTGTGGCAACGTATTCCGGCCAGTCGAAGTCATTTGCTGTCAGGAGGGAATCAGTTTCTAAATACTCAGTTAAGCCCCCTATAGACGGTACGACCGCTGGTTCCGGCTCCGTCCTGCTGGTATTCTTTGCATTTCAAATCCAAATCAAAATCCTCAGTGATAAAATGAAGATTCAAACCAAAATGATGACTTTAAACGAAAATTAGAACATAATTTTTATGAAGGCAAAGTAGCCTGAAATAAGAAAGGTTTTTTAAAAGATCTTAATGTTAGTCTATGCATGCATGATGAAAATTATAATTCAGCTTCGTGAGGCATAAACTCGGGAAATTAAACAAACGAAAATGACATCATCTGGTCTATAAAAAGTGTCCTTTCCTGGAAACCGGGGGGCAACAGTATCTCTGGTGGCATTTTCATCATTTATTTTCTTTAAGCTTCTCTAGAAGTATATCATATGCAGCATTTCGTTTTCCTTTATCGCGAGAGTCTTTCGAATTTATCTTCCAGAGGCACGGGTATTGTTTTTATAATTCGATGAATTCCCCCCCCCAAAAATTCTTTGTCACATGATGTGCTTGTCATTTTCTAGATGTTTACTCATTGGGAGTTGCTGACTAGCCTATGAGACTGACGTCGGTCGTACGACAGCCCCACAGACAATCCATCAGGCCGGCGCCTGAAGTGGGACGGAAGGCAGAAATCTGGCGCCGACAGATTCTGAGCTCGCCGGTCAGGCCGCCGGACTCCGCCCACAATTGGCAGTACGATGCCCCCCTTCTCCCCTACACGATCGGTTTTACTTACGATTCCGGCGAACGGGTCGGGCGGATGTATCGTCTATGGGGGGCATAAGGTTTGCTGACGAATCCAGGAAAGTCACAAGAAAAAAGTCACAGAAAAAAGGCACGGAAATAACAAACCAAACCTAACCTATATATATTGTGTTGTCAATGTGTAAAGTCATGTGACTTTTTTTTCCTGTGACTATTTCCGTTCACCCTGCTGACAGGCTGACATAACACAGGAGTAATCACAAGGGTTTAATCCCCCCCCCCCAAAAAAAAAATAAAACTCACTTGATATACGAAATGGATGTATAAATAAACCATTTCCCAGGTTGCTGAAGACTTTTGCCTCATTTACACACAATTGCAGGGTTTTAATTGTTTCTCTTACTTTGACAACATATATCATTTCTCACTTTTTATTTATTTATGGCTCTATTATTATTATAATTTTTATTAATGTTACTTTCATTATTATTATTATATTATACCCCCTCCCCCCCGGCCTTGATGTGGGTAATAAAATGACCTGTGCCCGGGTAGATAAATGCCCGTAAAAAAAAAAAAAATAAAAAAAAAAAATAAAAAAAATAAAGGTACGATATGTTCACCAGGATAAGGGGTGCGGAGGATAGTGATGTTCTACCGGTTGACATTGAAACTTGATCTTGGCGCAGTGACTTTGAAAATCCTAACCAGGCATTACGTCATTCACAATATATTAAAACATTACCCCGTGGCGGTGTTGAGTAATGTTATGCTTCTTCACGCGCCTCATGTAAGCAGGACGTTGTTGATTTGGGGTGACTGGTGACCCCAGGTGTTAAGTGAGCACATTAAAATTTATGCATATTTGACTCTTGATGTTGATGCTTTTATTAAAACGTAATTATGTGAGGGTGTTTATGATGCTCAGCTGTGGTGCAATATGGGTTTTATATCTAGAAGTGTAAGTAACAAGAGTGCAGAGGTCTTATTGCAACTATATCTTGCGCTAGTCAGGCCACACCTCGATTATGCGGTTCAGTTCTGGTGCCCCTATTATAGAATGGATATAAATTCACTAGAGTCGGTGCAGCAAAGAATGACAAAAATGATTCCGGGACTTAGAAACCTTCCATATCAGGATAGGCTAAAGAAACTTAACTTGCATTCCCTAGAAAGACGAAGAGTGCGGGGAGATATGATAGAAGTATTTAAGTGGGTGAAAGGAATCAATAAAGGGGATATAGATAAAGTTCTTAAAATATCCGAGCAGGATAGGACTCGGAGCAACGGATTCAAGTTGGATAAGTTTAGGTTTAGGAGGGAGATAGGAAGAAACTGGTTCACAAATAGGGTGGTGGACGAGTGGAACAAGCTTAGCAACTTTGTAGTAAGTGCGGGAACTCTGGAAGTTTCAAAAGGAGGCTAGATAGATTCATGGATGATAGAGTGGTAGTAACTCTCGACAGGAGCTGCCATGCACAGGCCAACCGGCCTATTGCAGACTCCTTATTTTCTTATGTTCTTATGTATTTCACAGGCTGGTCCTAACCTTAACTGGTATCCTTCGTAACATCACCTTCGTGTTGGGGGAAGTTTTGTGACGAAATTATCACCTAAAAAGGTATCTATGTAATGAGGCGTTTAGTGCCATGTTCTTGTTTTTGTTAACCTGTTATTGCCCCGAGTGATATGGAATGTTTGTTGCAGGTTGCTCAGAGGATGAGGCTCAGCGACAAGTTCGGTGTGGTACATAATATCACAGCAGCTATTTAAAGGTGAAACTGATCAGTAATCTTCAATAACCTCTGTTCTCTTGGGTTTTGCTTTCATTGTAAATATCAAGTGAGTGTAAACTTTACTGATCCAGCCATTTTACCTACTGTGAATGATACAAACATTCTTAAGGATAAAATATTGTAATTATTTACGATAATTAAAAAGAATCAATAACAACGACTGCTGAGAGAGTTTGTGGACTGCATGACCGAAAAATAAATTATATTTCTACATCATAAAGGATGTGAGTTACTTTTGTATCGAGGTGAACAGTATCACGGGGCTTTGGTAAGGTAGGACACACGTCATGCACTACAGCGAAAATATTTAGCCTTACCTTTTTGCATACCGACTACGGTGGATTAAAAAACTGGTTTCCCCTGGAGCCGACCTTTCTCCTCGGGTACAAACGACTACCTCTGGTTGGCCATGAACTTAATTTCCTGGGAAGCTGAGAAGGAAAAGCCGTGAGAATGTGAGGTTGGTTCGTGACGACTGGACCTTCCTTCCATCAGTCGTGAAGTGAGAGTGTTATGATGATCAGTCAGTAAACGTCATGCCCACAAAGATGGGA